GGGTGTCTTTATAACGAATGGGTGTCTTTATGCCTGATGTATGTGTACTGGATGATCAGGGAAAACTAGAGGAACCCATTTAACTGAAGTCTTAAGGATGGGTAGGAGCTGGAGAAGTTGGCGTAGTAGTAGTATTAGGCATGAAGAGAGAATAGTGTAGATGGCAGAGAGACCTTTTTGGGCTTTTAGTTCATATTAAGGAAAAAGTGTTATCTGGAGAACAATTGAAAATCTTTGAAGGATTTTGCGTAACTTATGGGCTGCCAAACATCTGAGACCTCCTGGCAGTGGTACAGGAATACACCAGCTCTGTCCATTTTTCACCCACCTCAGCTATTAAGAAGCAGCCAGCTGTGTCTGACTGAACTCTTTGTTCTGTCTGGGACAGATAGAATACATTCAGGAATTGTCTGTTGATTATATACTTTATGTGGCAGAGAGTATTACTAAGTTAAAGTAGTTTCTGTCCTACAGTCACCTGTCCATCCATATGAGCGTGTCTTCTAGTCTGTAGTGATTCAGTTACTAGGAAATTAAATGAGGCTGTCCAACAGTTGTTAATAAATCTTTTTTGTTTCAGGATAATGGCTTTTCTTCTGATTTTTTTCTATAAGACCTACAGTGGTGCTCGTTTGTGCATGCATGTGTGTGTATACATGCATGGATATATATATTTGTTTATTCAGCTTTTTGCTTCTTCTCTCCAAGTAGAAAGCTTCCCCTGGAAAAAGTGTTCTTATGTTTATAGATACATTAAAATTTTAGCTGTTTGTTGTATTTATTAGCATTGTCATCTACTCTGGTTTTAAATTTCACTCTCCATAAAAACATTGATGATTGAGTTAGATTACGATTTGCTGCATCATATCAGAATGAGTAGGCATATGGTCTGTACAGTGTAAGAAAATAAGTAATGATCCTATCACTTTCTGATTATGAATAAGTAAAACTAGATATGAACTGATCATGAATTAGTGATATTGGAGGACATTTCTGTAATCTTTTGAGTGGCTAAGTTCGTTTCATATTGTTTATCTTAATAGCCCGGACTCTTCTTTATTGAAGCCTTGTAACTGATCTTTCTTTTATTTGAGTTGTTTGTGAATAATTATGTAACTGTTTCTTACTTGTGTGATGAACTGAATTTGTATTGCCTTTTTGGGGGATATGGTCAGCTTTTTAGATAATATTATGTTCTCATATGTTAGTCAAATTTTGTTTTTATTGTTATTTGTGTGTTTTGATGTACCTGTTTATTTAAGGCCCCAGGACAAGGGGCCATAGTTAGTACCCACCGGAGTTTAATTCAGAGTGGCAAGATATAAGACAATGATTCCTTGCAGTATAAATATTGACTGTTTCTTGTTTGGTTTCTACTTTATTAGTACAAATATAGCAGTATACACACATGCAGACACACTGTGATATAATATTATATTTATGATTGCTTCCAGTGTTGGTGTGATGCATTAAAGGGAGAAGGAATAAAGAAAAAAAGAGAGCTAACCTTTTCAGTGATGTGACCTATCACGTGCCAGTTTGTATGGAGCTTGCAGACTCCTCGTGAACAGGAAAGGTTATTTTTGACGTGTGCCCAGCGTGGTCCCTGGCGCACAGCAGACATTAAGTCAGTGCTAATTGACGGAATGGAAGATTTGGAAAATGGGTGTCTTTATAACGAACACTGTGAACGATAGAAACATAGGAAATGACTAGGTCAGACCCATAATTTCGCCTTATATTCTGTTGCCAATGGTTTTTTTCTTTAAAGAATTATGAAATGACTTCTTTGCCCTTTCTGTTAACTTTGTATGGTTTAATAACAATTTATGGCTCTGTTAATTTACAAATTATCAATTCATTTGAAAATCATTTTTGTGATTTTCTTCTGCAATTTCTTGTTGTGATTAGTTCCATTAGTTTATTAACTTGCCCTACATAAATGTATACATAGTTTTAAATGGAAGTAAATTTTTTTTTCTCAGAAAATTTAGAAAGGGGTATAAATTATGGAAATTTCTAGGTATTTCTCATATTTTAGCCTAGGTTTTACAAGGGAAAAAAATGAAAATAATGTCCCGGTATTTGCATCCCATACCAAATCCATGCTTCTGGTACAGAGTTTGTCCTTTGGAATATATTGGGAAATATATTTTGAAATCTGGTAAATTTTTCTTTAGTGTACATTGTGGAAACCATTCTGAGTTATTTATAAGAGATTAATAGCCCATGAATTTAAAAAACATTGTAAAATATATACTTTTTCATTTTTGTGGTAAAATATTTGCATAACATAAAATTTACCATTTTAACAATTTTTAAGTGTACAGTTTAGTGATATCATTCACACTTTTGTACAACCATCCATCTCCAGAACTCTTTTCATCGTACAAAACTAGAACTCTTTACCCATTAAGCAGTAACTTTCCATATCTCCCTCTCCCCAGCCCCTGGCAACTTCCATTCTACTTTCTGTCTCTATGAATTTGACTATTCTAGGCACCTTATATAAGTGGAGTCAAACAGTATTTGTCTTTTTGTGACTGACTTGTTTCACTTAGTATAATGTCCTTTGGGTTTATCCATTTTGTAGGATGTGTAAGAATGTCCTCTTTTTTTTGGTAAGGAAGATTGGCTCTGAGCTAACATCTGTTGCCAGTCTTCCTCCTTTTGCTTGAAGAAGATTGTTGCTGAGCTAACATTTGTGCCAGTCTTCTTCCACTTTGTATGTGGGATGCCACCACAGCATAACTTAATGAACGGTATGTAGGTCTGCACCTGGGATCAGAACCTGCAAACCCTGGGCCACTGAAGTGGAGCACGCAAACTTAACCACTATTTAACTGGCCTAGCCCCAAAATGTCCTTTCTTTTTAAGGCTGAATAATATTCCTTTTGTATGTATATACTACATTTCGTTTATCCATTCATCTGTCAGTGGACTCTTGGTTGCTTCTACCTTTTGGCTGTTGTGAATAATGCTGCTAACATTCTAAAATATTTTGATTGAGTTGCTACTTAATATTCTCAAAAGGTAACATCCTCTTTTGTTTATTACAGGAGGCATAGTCTAGATAAGAGGGAGTGCTTTGGAATTGGACTTTTTGGATTCAAATCCTGGCTGATAGCTTGCTGGTTATTTCAGTGTGGGCACATAACCTTTTTGATGTCTATTTATTCAACTGCTAACTTCAGATAAATAATGGTACCTTACATTTTTTGATTAAATTAGGTAATATATGTTAAGTGCTTAGAGTATTGTGTAACACATAGTAAAAGTTGATAATTGTTACTGTTGTTTAGGAAAAAGAGCCCATTAGATCAGGTGCTCACTCAAAAGTACTGCAGGCACTCTCCCAATTAGGTAGTAATAAAAATTTGAGTTTTTAAACTCACTTTGATGCTGAGAAGGCAAATACTTGAATTAAATAATACCAGCCTTTTCTTTGGGCAGGAGTAGGTAAAAAAGGGACAGGGTTGAATATTGGGAAAGTTGCCATTGTTATCATCTTCATGGGAAAGGGTCCTGGTATCTTAACCAGTTGTACTGTGGTTTATCTAATGAGACGAGCCAGAAGAATCAGAAGTTGGTCTCTGTTATTGCCGCCTCTTCCTTATCTTTATTCTGTGCCAGTGACTTTCAAAAGCATGAAAAGTGATGAGCCACAACTTTAGACAGGCAGACGAAGTTATGCAATGTACGGCACAGGTTTGTAAAGTCTGATCAGTTGTGACTCAATGTTACGTTTTTTGTGAGAAGATTGGGCCGCTAGTTTCCCCCTCAAGAAAGATGTGAACTCAGAAGTGGTTTTTAATATGTTGAACGCTTAAATTTTAAATTGAATGCTCAAATCTACAGTACCAAATGAAGCCTGCCCAAGTTTTTGTCTTAAATCCAGTAAACTGGCCCACACGAGCAGTGCAGTGGATTATCAGTCCTGCATGTAAGTCCCTACACCATTGTAATGTGCATGCCACAAAGTATGATGCTTCTGAGTATAATTGTACAACTTTGAATGTTTCAGGTTTAATTCTCGTAAAATTATATTAAGGAAAGTCAGTATAAAAGGTTATATTCAACTAAATATTCCTTTTGTATATGAATCTTGTTTGAGTCATATTCAATAGTAATATGCCACTTAACATTGTAACCAGTAAAAATGTATTCTGGCCCACAGTGGTTGACATCTTGTTCAACAAGATTTTAGAAGGATGACTACGCCCGCGGAATGTAGTGAGTAGGGTCATATTTTTGTCGAGATGAATTCAGTTATTTAAGGCCATGTAATCCAAAGGGGGAAACAGAGTCTAAACTTCGCCCATCTCCCTAACGTTTATTGTATTAGCTTGGCAAATACTTATTTCATAAACAAAAAAATATGTAGTTGATTGAAATGATGTCTCTTTCAGCCTGTTTTACATTTTGTACTCTTTTGTTTCACAATAACTTAATAATTGATTTTTAAATCAGCATGGGTATTAACAATCATAAATTCAAGATTTAGGGTACCATCTTAATAACATGACCAATCGCCATTTTATTTTAAATGTCTACATTTCATATACTGTGTAATAGTTTTAATAAAATTTAGCAAGGATGGAGTCACAGAGATGCAGTTTTATACAGGCATGAGGATTTCAGTGTATAAAACTATTAGTTTGGGAATAGTGATAAGACTAGCAGTCAAGGATAAGTAGTTTGGGTGACTTAGTAAAACTCCAAGGAAATAAAAAGATGTTTCATTGACTACCTCTGCCTCTTGAGTTCTCTTTTTTCCTCACATGATTGATCTTCAGAAAGCAGAGAGTAGTTATCTTGGTGACTTAAAGAATAGTGACTTGATAAGTTTGGTAGTACAATGACAAACTAGGGTTGAACGTGGTACATAAAGGTTAGTAGGTTTGTCGTAGTTTTCAACTGTTTAATTCAGGAATTGAGAAAGTTATTTCAAGTTAAGTGAGGATATTTTAAGTAGATTTTTAAATTTTTTTATTTTTCAGCCAAACCAAACAGGAAGCTTACTTTTCTCTACCTAGCCAATGATGTCATTCAGAACAGCAAAAGGAAGGGGCCGGAGTTTACAAAAGATTTTGCACCAGTTATAGTGGAGGCTTTTAAGCATGTTTCAAGGTATGATAATTGTTCTGGATACTAGGTAATCTGTTTTAAATGTATCATATGTCCTTTTGCTAAAATTTTCCAGAAGCCATTAAAATAAAAAACAGGGAATGTATTTCTTTGAAGTTTTCATTTGAAATTACCTGTCAATGGCATTTGTAAATGTGTTAAATACTTTCTGTGAAGGAAAATTTTTTTTGAACTGTTGCTAAGGTGGGCATTTGGAGTACTTGAATTACAGCTTTCCTTTAAGAGACCAAAAGCAACTGCCATATTGAAGTGAACTTCATTAAGAATGAATGAAGGTGTTGAATTGAAAATTCTTGTGTTTATAAAGCTATCAGTGTTCCAACTAATATTTCTGGATAAACTTAGTACCCTTTCCCCTCATGTTGCTTATAATGATTTTAAGGGTTTCTAGTGTGTGGGTGTATGTCATAACATTTTAAAATGCTTTGGAAATAGAGAATATTTAAAATAATCATAAACTCGTTGAAAAATTTTGCTACGGAAAAATTCTGAGAGTAGAAGTCTTTGGTTTATGCCCTTTTTAAATGCTTATTTCCAAACATTATATGCAAATATTTGTTAGATTACTTGGTAAGCATTATTGGGGTAGACTGTTAAATTAGTCTAAATTATAGAATTCAGTGGTGAATGATGATCTGTGTTGAATGATTTAAGGATGAAAATATACTCATCAAATGCCCTGCAATTTTAGTCACACTGGGTGCATTTTTTAAAAATTATAAGAGTATGAAATACTGCTGAATGTTGTTTTCTTAAATAAATATTATTTATCCTTCAGTTTAGGTACTGTCTTCAACCAACTTTTCAGACGTTAGTGTTTCTTAGAGTTCAGTCCTAGAGCCCCTTCTGGAGTTATATTCTTCACTTGCCCTCTGGGCAATTTTATATGCTGCATGTATTTTCTTGTTATCCACACCCTAATAACTCACTGCAGTCTGGATTTTTTTTTCCTTTGTTTTACTTAATCAAATTTCTAGTTGTATGCCTCCAAACATCTCAGACTCACTGTCTGATATCGAACTCCTTATGTCCTTGCTCCCTGTCAAGCTTGCTCCTCTAGGCTTCACTCTCTTCGTGAATGGCAACTTCATCTATCCAGATGCCCACACAAGAAATTATGTGTCATCTTTAACTCTCTGTAATATTGAGATTTATAATATATACCACTCTTCTTTCTTCTTCACTCCCCTTATTCCATATAATACTTATAGTTCCTTCAGTTCTTTAAATTTGTTTCCATTCCAATTACCACAATGTCATTTCTATATAATTGCAGAAGTAGCCTCCGGTATTGTTTACTCCATTTAGGAAACTCTAGTCAGAGTTGCAGAGCTGATCATAACACTCTCCCTTGCCTTTGAGTGGTTCTCATTTGTCCTAGAGATCAAGTCTAAAGTCCGGAGCAAGACTTAAGATGTTCCTGTCTGCATGGCCCTGTCTCCCTCATCCCATTCCTGTGTCACATTTCTTCCATACATACACCCTGTAGTCTACAGTTTAAGCTAAGTCAACCTCTTTTAGTTCTTTCTGCCTAAGATTTTATGTATGTTATGTCTCCCTAGAATTTATTAAAATATTTATTGACTGCCTACTCTGTGCTAGACCCGGAGGATACAGTAGTGAACAAAATTTCTAGTGAAATTTACATTTCAGTGAATGACAAAGTTAATAACTAGATAGATAAGTGAATATATATTATAATGTCAAAAGATAAGTACTATTAAGAAACATGAAGCAGGGAAGGAACGAGAGAGTGTGGCGGTGGTCATTTATTGTTGTTAGTACCCACGAGTCTATTCCAACTCCTAGTGACCCTGTGTATACCACAGCAGAACTCTGCCTGGTCTTTTTGTGCCATCCTTTCACCTTTCATGCTTTATCAGACAATGCTTTGCTGCTATTCATAGGGTTTTCATGGCCAGTTTTTTTTGCAAGTGGGTGGCCAGGTCTTTCTTCCTAGTCTGGTCTAGCCTGGAAGCTCTGCTGTAACTTGTCCACCACGGGTGACCCTACTGGTATTTGAAATACCAGTGGCAAAGCTTTCAGCATCACAGCAATACACAGCTGCCACAGTGTAACAACCGATGGACACAGGTGATGTGGTTCTCTGACCAGGAACGAATATCCAGGCCATGGTGGCTAATGCACCAATCATTTTTTTTTTTTTTTTTTTTTTTTAGGAAGATTAGCCCTGAGCTAACATCCTCCTTCTCCTCATGCTGCCAATTCTCCTCTTTTTGCTGAGGAAGGCTGGCCCTGAGATAACATCCGTGCCCATCTTCCTCTACTTTATATGTGGGGTGCCCGCCACAGCATGGCTTACCAAGTGGTGCCATGTCCGTACCTGGGATCCGAACCGGCAAACCCTGGGCCATCCCCAAATGCACCAATCTTAACCACTAGACCATTAGGGCTGGCTGCTCAGTTATATCATGAGGTAAAGAATGACTCTTTGGGGGAGATAGCATTTGAACAGAGACTAAAGGAAAGGATGAGCCATTTGACTCTAGAAGGAAAGGATTCTAGGTAGGGAGAATGTATTTAGGGAATGTGGACTGAGACGGAGCCAGGAAGAAGAACATGTCCACCTTGTGGCCCAGGATAAGAATTGTGGTTTTATTCTTGGTATGATTGGTAGCTCAAAGAGGATTGAGAGCAATATGATCTGATTTACGTTAGTAGAGAAGAGAGTGAAAGAGTAGAGCCTGGGATACCAATGAGAAGACTCTTAACAAAAATCCAGGCAAGAGATAATAGTGGCTTAGTCTACAGTGATAGTGATGTAGGTGGTAGGAAGTGGCTGAGAGTAGTCTGTTTCCCAATGTCCTGTATATCCACAATCTTCAGATCTCAGATTAAATATCACTTCCTCACATACCCTTCCTGATCTTTCTGGAACTGAGCGAAATCTGTTACACGTATCTTTAACACCTTGTTCTCTTTTGTGGCACTTATAGATAACAGCTGCCATAAAGCTCCATTTGTATCTTCAGTGTCAAAGATAGTGGATTGATCAATAAATGTTTGTTAAATAAATTTAAAAAATCACCTATTAGAAATCTTCCTAGCTTCATGTTCAGCCCCCATTAGGTTAGGGGCATCTTTGTAAACTCCTATTAGCTGGTACTAACACTTTTACATTTTTTGTAATTATTTGTTTAATAATATGTCTATAAGCTCTTTAAGGGAAGCGGGGGATTATGTCTGTCTTGATCACTTCAACCCTGAACTACTACTGGTCACATAGTGGTACTCAGTAACTTTTTTCAGGGAATGAGTGACTAATTGTATTTAAAATCATCATTACCTTTTCCGTAGCACTATGCAGTTTTACTGTTAATATTTTTATTTTTTCTTTAGTGAAACTGATGAAAGTTGTAAGAAGCACCTTGGAAGAGTGTTATCTATTTGGGAAGAAAGATCTGTTTATGAAAATGATGTATTAGAACAACTTAAGCAAGCTCTGTGTAAGTACAATCTTTTATGATAATCTTTTATCATGATCTCTTCGTTAAAATGTATTCTTTCATTAAAACTTAAATGTTACTTCAATTCAGATGGTGATAAGAAGCCTAGGAAGCGAACTTATGAACAGATAAAGGTGGATGAAAATGAAAACTGTTCCTCTCTGGGATCTCCAAGTGAACCACCACAGGTAGTTTTTCTCTTAGGGGAGTTACGTTACTATTAGTTCATGTGGCCACCAAGATTTATTAATTTCAATGTTTTATTTCTGTAAATTGATTTTTATTATAATTCTTACAAGAAAGAAACTGTGTGAATATCTCTTATTTTCTGATCAACAAATTGTTTATGTTTAATGCAGTATGTTGTGTATTGTATATTAGGCAGTTGTATTTTGCATAGAAAGAGTATTTCTGATTGCTAAGTATAATTAGGTCTGGTGACATATCCACCATTTAAACAATTTCCTTTTAAATAAATAAGACACTGTGTGTTAAGGCTATTTTGTTCTATGATTTAAGTACACTAAAAATTCCAGTCCTAGAGATAAACACTGCCCTTTTTAGTCTTTTTGCTTTTAAACATGTAAAAATGAGTGTTAGAGCAACAAGTATGTATTCATATGGTTTTAGTAACTATATAGAACCATGTAGTTCCATGGTAAAATAACTTGAATTAGAATCATTATCTTAGTACCCTTTGTCCTCTCAGGTTGGTACAGTAAGTATAGCATTCCTTAGCCATCAGATAATTCCAGAAAGACATTTTTAATTTTTAATTATGTGGCATTGAGTCTTAAAGCTTCCTCCTTCTATGTTTCAAACATATAGGAGGGACAGATAAAATTTAAAAGGAGAAAATGAAGACATAGCCATACCCTTAAAACAAGGTAAATATCTTCGTGGGCTAGAAATGATACAGAAACACAATTCAATATATGAGCCAGGGAGTGGTTCCTACTGAGCTTTGGTCTGGAAGCAGACACAGGTTGCCGGAAATTAGTATGTTATGGGGTAACAAGCTCACAGTGCTCTCTGGGAGTTGGAGGACTGGACCCGAACTCACTGCATGGAACCAGGGCCTGGATGGAGTTCTTTCCCCCATGAAAGGAGTTTGAAAGAAAGATACGACTGATTACTGCCTAGAACTGTGGATCTATATCGGTGTTAGTACTAAGGAGACAGAAAGAATCCGACCAAGGAGGTCAGCTAGGATCTGAACCAAGCTATCTCTTGGCTCAGTGACAGGAATGCTGAAGCCTACGTGGTCACTATGGACAAGAGCTTGAATAGAAAAGTAATAAGAACATAAGATTTGGAAGAACTCTAGGTTTGTATCTCTTTCCAGTTTGGTAATAATTCACAACAGAGAAGCACTTTGTGCCAAGAGCCCCATTATGATTCCATGAATAGTAGTTTATCTGAGTTCTAGATACAGGGTCTGACCCACTCCTATTCTCCCTGATGAAAAAGTAACCTCAGTTGTACTTAGGAGTATCTTTGAGTAACTGTCTGACTTCTCTAGTACTTGTATAAAGTGCTATTGCTTTTCATTTTATAATGACCATTTTGGATTAGTTGTACTGCTGAATTCTCCATGGTTTAGTTTTGTAGTGACCATTTTATTTATGTCATTCTTTATAAGAATGACTAAATTTTCTCTTTGTAGGATTCATTTTGAACTCATTTTGTTCTCCTCTGTTAGTGTTGTTTCAGACAACTTTGCATTCTTATTTGATCCTTGACCCAGCATTGGGAACTTAGAATGAACTTGGTAGGGATGCAAAGGTTTGGTGAAAGTAGGTTGTAGTTAAAGCATTCATGCATTGTCAAGACCATCAAGCCAGGTTTCTTCTAAGAACTCTAGAAAATTTTAGAAATTTTTAAGACTGATTAAAAATAATAATATATAAGTTAATTGGGGCACCATGAGAAATAAGCTTCCTGGTAATTGTCATTGCTTTTAAGCTCACTTTCATTGTGGAGGGGCTACATCTTATAATGAAATTATTTTTTTAAATAATGAGATTTTAAACACATAGTAACGGATTTAAAAGCACACTTGGGATAGTATATTTCTTATTAGATTCCGTTCATTCTTGTCATGTTCAATCATTTGCTATGTTGTAGACTCTAGTGATAGCATTTTTTATAAGGGAATAGCTTAAAGAAAAATCGGTAACTGACTATCAGTATCATCTTAATATGTACACAGAATTGATAATTTGTGTGTGTAATTTCCTAGTGTTCTAAGATCAAGTCTTAGAGATTAAAAAAAGGAAAAAAGGAGGTAGGAGGGGATGGAGGCTAGTAAAAAGAAAGTTTACTCATTTTGTTTTGGAATAACTTTATAGACATGAATTGTGAAATCCCCAATTTCAAAGGCAAAGACTTACCCTTCCCTCTTAATTATAGCTGGTAAGAAAAGGGTGCAATTAAAATATCCTAATGATAAAATAATTTTTATATGTAAGCATTATATAAATATTAGTCCTCAAATATGTGGAACTTTGTAATATTTTAATGATCTTATTAACAAACCATAGAATCGTTGAAGACACCATATTTGAACGTATTCCAAAGCTACATTTCTCTTGTGCTTTAATTACATCAGTTAGAAATGGAATCTGGGAGACTCTTCTATGTTGTGGTAGAAGATGATGTGTATCCTCCTTCCCCCAATATCTAATTTAGTATTGAAAATTCTTCTCATGTATAATAATATAATGAATATATCATACCTAAAACTTGTATCCTCCAGGTTAAAATTACAGCCTGCCTTCCCTTTTCCTACTGTATGTATATGGCATATAAAGTAATCTCATCATTTTAATAGTCAGATAATTAGTTTTACGCTATCTGTCTCCACTGCTGGAATATGAGCTCCTCAAGGCCAGGGGCCATGTCTCATTTATATGTTTCCAATTTATATGTTTCCAGTACCTAACAAAGTGTAGCTTCTTTTTCTTAATATATATACGAAATGGACTGTCTTTGAAAGCAGTTTATATTTGAAACTTTGAACTAGTAAATAACCCGTAAGGATTAAGGAATATGAAATAAATTTCAGGTCTTTTGTCTTTGTTTAAGCCTCGTTTATTTTGATTCTAAAGCTGTGTGACTTTTTAGACTCTGGATCTCGTTAGAGCACTACAAGATCTGGAAAATGCGGCTTCAGGTGACGCAGCAGTTCGTCAGAGGATAGCTTCCTTGCCTGTCGAAGTTCAGGAAGTGTCCCTACTAGACAAAATAACAGGTGAGAAGAGAAGATGTGGTCTGGCACTGTTTTGGGAGTCAGAGTGAGGGAACGGCATATGGTGTTGTTTTTGTTGTGTAATAATTTTATTATTCTGTGCTTTTCTTAGATAAAGAATCTGGAGAAAGGCTTTCTAAGATGGTAGAGGATGCGTGTATGTTGCTGGCAGATTACAATGGCAGATTGGCGGCTGAAATAGATGATAGGAAGCAACTCACTCGAATGTTAGCAGATTTTCTTCGTTGTCAAAAGGAAGCCCTTGCAGAGAAAGAGCATAAATTGGAAGTGCGTAACCTTTTCCTTTTTTAGTGTTTATTTACTTTTTCAGTAGGGATTTTAAAATATTTTAATGTTCCTGCACATTTTGCATTTTTTTGACATAGACCTTTTTAGACAGTGGCCCAGGTAAGCTACTCCTTGCATTAACTGGTTTCTTTCTACTTGACCCAAATTAACCTGCGTAAGTAAATTTAGAAATTTGGAATTAGCAGAATTGGTTGCATTTTAAAATTATTCATGTGAAATTCCAGTAGTAGTGATTCATCTCATGAGTAAAAACTCTTATCTTCAAGAACAAAAATAATAGGAAAATAGCAGTTGGTATAAAATCTGGTGTCAACTACACTAAATTATGGTTGTATTTATTTAATTCCTGTTCTGAGTACACGCAGTCTTTTGCGTGTACAATTGAAAAATAAAAGGACTTCTTTGGGCATAGAATTTGTTTGAGTCTGCTAGTCTACCTGTCCCTGAACAGTTCATCAGTTTTGCTTTGGAAGGTAGTTTCAAGTTACTCCCCATTCCATCCCTGATTCTGATGCTTGACATAGTCCCACCCCACTCTTGGCTCATACACCCTTAGGGAGGAAGTCATTGTTCCTTTAAATTGAGCGATGATCAGTACTGTTGATGAGAAGTCTGGAGGTGCAGGGATAAAAAAAAGAAACACTCCCATATTTTCTTTGAGCAGAGTAGCCATTGTCAGGGATGGATGGGCCAGATTTGATTTTATTTAATAGAATCTTTCACTTGACTAGGTCTTGTTTAAATTGTTTACTTCTATAGCAGTTTCTTATTCTAATAATATGTAGGAGAATTTCTAATTTGTCTGGATCTATTTGCAGTCATGCGTCGCTTAATGACAGGAATATGATCTGAGAAATGCATCTTTAGGCCATTTCATTATTATGCAAACATCACAGAGTGTACTTACAAAAACCTAGGTGGTATAGCCTCCTACACATCTAGGCTATATGGTACCAATCTTAGGGGACCTCCGTGGTATATGTGGTCTGTTGTTTACCGAAACATCACTCTGCAGCGCATGACTGTATTTAGAGACAGTTCTCTGTAAATTTTTAGGTATGTTATAATACTGCCTGTCTTTATTTACTTTTATTTATTAGTGTTTAGTTCTTGTTTCAGCAGTCTCTAATTGTGCCAAAGGTGATTGCTGTTTCTACCTCTGAGAACAACCACTTGATTAAGGATCAGCAGCAGGGCTCTCCCACCCCAAATTCTCAGCTCTTAATTTAGCATTACCTCTTTTCAGTTTGCTCCTCCTCTGCTCACATATACACTCTCAGAGTGTAGTTTGTTGGCACCAGCCTCTACCTTTAGAGAAGTTGCCCAATTCTACATAGAAAGGAAAAGATAGACTTTTTTTAAAGGATACATTTGATAGTTAACTTGCCAGTTCTTGATCTTGTGATGAAACTTCAACCTTAAACATGTTGTTACTTATTTCATTGTTAGTGGAATTAAGGGTAAGTAATGTCATATGATTTTTGTCTTTAGTTTTTGGTATGGTTTCTTTAACTTCTATTGAGCTTCTGTTGCAGGTGTTGGACATGGGCGTATCTTCTAACGATGTCATCATCATTAGCATATTCTTCCTGCTAAAAATAAATATCAAACTCCAAAGCCTGTATTGTCTCATGTTTTTGAAAATTGTAAAGAAGACCGGAACTTTGTTATTCTACTTTATACTGCTTTCTCACTTAAGTTGGTTATCACTGATTACAAAAATAGAGTTTTGTGTTTGAAATGTAAGTGTAGAAAAAAAATCAGATACTACTCCCAACCCCCTCTTTTCCCAGTGCTTTCCAGCCAGATTTCATAGTTGATAGTTACAGGTGGTGAGACTGACAGTAATAATATTTACCATGTGTTAGGTACTGTTCTGAGCACTTCACATACATCAGCTCATTTAATCATGTATGGCAGGAAATATTATTATCCCCATTTTACACATAAGGAAACCGAGGCACAGGCAGATTAAGTAACTCGCCCAGGGTCACAAAGAGGTAGTAAATTGTTTAGAACCCAGGGAATCTGCCACCGAAAGTGCGTAATTTGCTTCCAAGTTTTACTTAAGGCAATGTAAGGTGACAGCAAAAGCTAAAGCACTCTCTCTCCAACTCTTTCTACTTACCCCCTCCTCACAGTCACTGTTTTGAAGTAAAGTGTTCTAGGAACTTTCTTCATTGTTTTAGCATGACTAGATTTTATCATAGGAAGAAACCACTTAAATTATGTTAAATGTTTTTTACATATAAAGAAATACTTAAGATTTCTAATAAACCAGGAAGTTATTCCACAGAACTCTTTGTAAATTATCATTTATAATTAAGCGATTCCTTTGTCAGAAGATATGAAAATGCTTTGAGATATTTAGACATTTTTTTTTGTACCAAGTAGGTGGCATGACTTTGAAGTTGAGGCCGAGATGTCAAGATTTTTACTTACCATATCAGCTGTGATATCATCAAATAGTTTTCAGTTACTGTGCACCTTTGAACATGAACTGTGATTGCCATGTAGTAAGGTGTCATTAATTGCTCTCTTTGTTGTTGTTGAAAATGGGACTTGAAGTTAAAGTATCAGTTCAGGAATTGGCTATTTCATATTTCTTAAAGAGGCCGCTATTAAAGCATTTGTGATAAATGAAAACATGAAGGTTTAAAAAAACTTCGGAAATTATGAATCATCATTTTTTAAACTTGTGACTAGCTGGTTATTAAACAGATAACTTAAAACAGACAATGTCTAATTTATATTTATAAAATCTGTTTTATAGATTGCTGTAGGAATCATTTATTCAGAAGTCGAAATTATTGCATAAACTATTGTTCACCCAGCTTATTATCTTGGAGGGCATTTATGGATAGGGGAATTAAAATGACATTTTGATTTTTATGTTTTTGGAGAGAGGGCAAAATAGAGATCAGAACTGTTCCATATTCAATGAGATTATGTCTTACCTTTGTTGCTCTATTTTGAATACTTCTTTTTCATGGTACAGTTGGTATAGGGAAACATGCTTTTATAAAATCCGTTTATCTTGTAGTACATTCATCTATTTTAAATTGCTAGACTTCCATAGAAAATTGATTTTCTAGTCTATGGAATAGATTTCCATGGAAAATTGAAAATCACAATTTGAGGGCTCTTAAAGGGAGAAATCAAATCATAGTTCCAAGTTCTAGAAGTCAGGATAGGAAAGCTGTCAGAGAGGAAAGTGTTTATCTTTTGCAGACTTACGTCAGTCTATTTAGGTTTACTTTTTTTACGTCAGTCTATTTAGGTTTACTTTATTTAAAAAATGAGGACGTATTATTCATTGTATGAATATTTATTTAAGTCTGTCTGTCTTCTCATGATGTCAGATTGCATCCATTGAGTTACTTTTATTAGTTTTGTGCATTATAGGTAGTACTACAGAAAACATCCTGGTGATCCAGGTTTGTATAGTTGTGCAAGTACATCTGCAGGATTGGTTCTTAGAAGTGAAATAGAATAGCGGGGTCAAAGGAAATGTATGTTTAAGTGTTGAGAGTGTACTCAAGCCCTGTGTTTTTAAGCACCTTGCAGTGTGAGTGCATCTTTTCCTATGCAGCATTGCCCACATTGAATGTCAGTGATCTTTAAGTTTTTGCATATCTAATAGGCTAAAAATTATTCTTTTTTCCACTCAGATTGGTCATCTTCAAAAAATATTTATTAGACTTTTTATTTCTGCTGCGAATTCCCTATGTAGTTGACTGCTTTTCTATTTGGTTTTGTTTGTGTATTAATATTTGTCTTTGCCTTTTTAGATTCTGGGCTTTCTGGACATAGTTAAGATGGCCTTCTCAATTCCTAACTATAAAAGTACTATGCTATTTTTTTGTAGGCTATTTTTCCCCAATAATTTTATTCATTAGAACTTTTTGTTCGTGGTATGTATGATGTAGGCATCTCACTAATTGTTTGAAAGTGATAGGAAATGTCCCCATCTCATTTATTGATTAATAATTAGTGGGAATGCAGTTATTTATTCCACTGGCCCATTTGTTTTACCCACTGTTAATTATGCATTAGGTTTTTGTTTGTGTTACTTTTTGGTGTTGTTCATGTCTGTAATTTTAACTAATCATGATTACCGTGTATAAATTTTTTACTTCTCAATTATTATTTATACACATTTGCCTTCATATGTAATATTTTAAATGACAACATTTTGCTAAGTAGACATTTCTTAATTTTCTTGGCCTTTTCCCTGTTTTTGGACATACTGTTTGCTTTTGTTGTCTGTCCTTTATCTGCTAGACAGTATTTTCCAGGTTTTTCAGGAGAGCTTACTTTTATAAAACTTTTTGTTTTCCAAAAAGTTTAATTTCCGTTTTTTTAAATGCTTAAGATAAATTTGTTTTGCCTAAGACATTTAATGAAATTCCTGTGTCACACTCTATTAATGTAGGAAATAATGTTTTAAATATATAGCACTGAAAATGCAGATTTAAAAATCTGTTGCTGAAGGTGTTATCTGCATGTAGCTTTTTGATGATTATCATCAAATTATAAATATTATTCAAGGGCGTATGTAAGAAGTATATGGAACTGACTATGGAATCTTTCATCTGTGATTCAGTTATTTCTTTACATTTTACTCTGTTTTCCATTGAAACCATATTGTTTAAATTTAGAGGTAATTTGATAAGATGGAGCTATGTGGATTTTTCAAAGAAGCAAATGTTACTAGTTTCTTAATGGTTTCTAACATTATTTTTTGAGATCTAAATATTATTAAGTCTAAAATTTTTTATGGTTAATTTAGCCATTTTCCAAGAACCATGTAAATCTTTTAATTATTTTGATTGATTATGCAAGTAATCTATTTTCATTGTAGCAAAAAAGCTACATAAGCAAAAGGCTAGGCCTATGTACTGGCTCCGTGTATTATTTTGTATATTGTCCTTTTCATGTAATATATTATGTGTGTTTTATCATGTCACTATTTTCCTTTTTAATGTATGGATGTATCATAATTTAACTACTGTATGTTCTTATGACTATTTGTTTCCGTTGCTTTGCTCTTATAAACAGTATTGCAGTGACATCTCTAGTTAACTCTTTTACTCACATATATCATCTCTTGTGATAAGTTCCTAAAGATGAAATTGCTGATTCATGTTAAAGACTTGATACATGTTACCAATCTGACTTTCAGTAAGATTGTACTAAATCATTGTCTTTGATGATTCCTAAATATTATCTATATGTCTTCTCAGCCATTCTCTCCAGAGAAAATGCATCACATTTGCTGGGTAGATAACATAGGGCCTCTGTTTTCAGAACTGTGCCTTACCTCTAATCTGTGTGATTTGGATCTCCAAATGCAGATATTTGGCTTAGTTTCTTATCCCTCATCTTTTGGCTCTGTGGGATAAGTGTTTTAAGAGATTGATGTAAAGATTTTTAATTGATCCTTATTGTCAGCCTTAAGACTCAGCATTACATTTCAAGGAGCTTGGTTATCTCAAAGTCCTGAGCCTGTCCAGACTTCCTCAGATGAATTGCATTACTTTTGATCATTATCCCTTCTTTCAGTTTTTTCCATCTTCCAAAAGTTTCCTGACATCTGTGTACTGTGGTTGCCTCATCTCCATTTTCGTGGGTTTATGCCTTTATAAATTGCTTTATTATTTTAGTGGCTTTTTGGGAGAGAGTGGAGATAAACGTGAGTTCAATTTGTCATATAAATGAAAGGCCTTTTGTGTCTAAATAAATAGAACTATAATATATATGTTTCATAACTCCTGCCAAATCACGCTTATCTAAGTGGATGTCATTCATGGCCTGGATTGTTAACAACTGATCTTCCTTTTCCCTCTCTTAACCCCCTACATCACTGCAGCCAGATTGATCTTTTAAGAAGAAATCAGGTGTCATCATACTTTGTTTAAAAAAAAAAAAGATTCTCCAGTGCTTCCCTGTACACTTTTGGATCTTATTTTAAACTCCATATATGGCTTTGAGCTCACTAGTCATGAGTCTCCATTTAACCTCATCTTGTACCATCTCACAGGCCTGCATTTTGTTCTTAAAGCAGTGAAGCATGTTCTCACATCAGGGTTTTTGTTTTGCTAATTGCTGACAGAGTGGCTGGGATGCTCTTTCCTGAGCTTTTCTCGGTTCCTTTTTTCATTCAGGTTTATGTTGCTGTGTCACCTCTTTTCCATTCATTTGGTTCCACTGACCCTTTGTCCTGCCCCCCTTCCTCCTGTCCCCTCCCTCCCACTGTGTTACATTGTCATTTTGTTTTTTGTTTTTCCTTCATAGTACTTATCACTATTTGAAAATTTAAAACTTTGTATAGTTGGTTATCCTCTGTACCTGCCTCTAGAACATGAACTCCATGAGAGGAAGAACTTTGTTTTGTTTTCATGTTTATTGCCATATCCTCAATATACTTGGAGCAAAACCTTTCTCCTGGTACACACACGGGTGTTTCTGTTGAGCAAATAAATGCTAGTAGGCCACTAAATGATGAATGCATGTATGGAATACAAATGTAATTTGCAAGAAGTCTATAATATTTTAAACTGGTGATTTATCTTGTGATTAAATCAGAAAAGAATGATACTTTAATAAATAAAAATGATTAAAGATACTTGAGACTTTTGAAGAAAATTGTATCCAGCACAATAGGTTAACTAATTTTTAAGTCATATTAGTATAGTCCAATACTTAAAAAAAAAAAAGTGGTTTGTGTGTTCACAGACCTCAGTTTCTAGGACTGCAGCTGAGCATTTTGAACAAAGGAATGAATGGCTATTTTAAAATTGTAAAATTTTGTAAATTTGCCCTTTTTTTCCTTCAGAATAAAACATGAACAATGTGTTAGAAAACATGAAAAACAAATGAACAGTCCTCAGCAGTGCTTCAGTACTAAGTTTGTAAGTCGGCAGTGATAGCTCCTGGGAGAACCGGTGCCATGAATAAAATCAGTCCTTAAGCCAGTGTTCTTTCTTTTACGGAAAGAGAAGAGTTTAAGCTGTAATTGCCTTCTGCCTGTTCACTCATTCATGGACTGAAGTGATAATAGTAACACCCTTCAGTAGAGGCATTGTGATTAAAGATTTATGCATATAAAGCATTTAGCATCCTCCCTGAGGCAAAGTAAGTGCTCAATAACTGATATCCACTGCTATCATTTGTTGTTACTGTACCAGCTTAGAGTTCTTAGGAGTGAGATGAGATTGAAAAGTAGATTGGAGCCAAATTGTGAAGGGCACTGAATGTCAGGCTGAGGAGATGGCTATAAGTCCAAAGGGTAGAGAGGAGTGGTGGCATTGGCACTGTTTGAAAACCTGATTGTAGTTGCTGAGTGGGTTAGAATGGTGAAAGATTTGCAATAGGGAGACCAGATAGGACTTGATTAGAAAATTTTATGTCGTGGGTCATAAAGGCCTGAACTATAGTTGATGATAGCAGTGAGAAAATGAACATGCAGATGGGGAAACAGTTGAATCACCATAATTTGTTAATTCGATCTGAGGGTAGGGGAGGAGGGGGAATGAGTGATAAATGAGATTTCGAAAACCATGGGGCGCAAATGATTCTGGCATTAACCGGAAGGATATTAAACTAGGGGACTAATTTGGGCGGGGAAAGGATGATTTTGGTTTTAGGTAGGTCAATAAATGAAAGTTTTCTTTTTTATTTTTAGTTGTAAAAGTAGTACATGCTCCTCAGTTTAGAAACTAGTGATAAGTACACACAGATACCACCTAAAATTTCATCATCCCTTGAGTAACCTTTGACAAGATTTGGAAGATGAAGTCATACAGTACATGGTATTTTATACATTGTCTTTTTTGCACATTTATTGTAAACACTTTACCATAATTATAAATATTCTTATTTTAATAGTTGTCATTTTTGTAAAGACGTATTTCTTTAACCAGCTACATATGGTTTAGCAATTGTTTTTTCCAGTTTCTTGGTATTGAAAAATACTGTTTTGAATCACCTTTTACCTAAATCTTTGCTTATCTGTGGTAATTTTCTTGTAAATTCTTAGAAGTAGGGGGAAAAAAGAAAGCTAAAGCAATAAGGTGATACGATTTTTATGCTCAGTTCAGCTATGATTTAAGAAAACAAAATGGCATCCTTTGTGATGACAAGGGGAGGTAGAAGTGAGACTCTTACATATTATTGATGTAAATTCATGTGACCCAATCTGTGTGAATAACAGTTAACAGTAAGTATCAGAATTCCTTATTTTACATAATGATTTTTTCTGTTCTTGGCATTTTACTAGATCATTTAAATTGCATTATTCTCTAAAAGTAACTGGTTCGTAGGAGAAATTCTAGGAGAATTAAAGTGATAGTATAGTTTTTTTCATTAAAAAAATCGTGGTAAAACACAATAACATAAATTTGACCATCTTAACCATTTTTAAGTGTACAGTTTAGTAGTGTTAAGTCTGTTCACATTGTTGTGCAGCCCATCTCCAAAACTCTTTTCATCTCGCAATACTGAAACTCATTAAACAACTCCCCATTCTCCACCGCCCCCAACCATGACAACCACCATTCTTCTTTCTGTCTCTATGAATTTGATTACTCTAGATACCTTATATAAGTGGAATTATACAGTAGTTGTCTTTTTGTGACTGGCTTATTTCACTTAGCGTAATGTCCTCTAGGTTCACCTATGTTACATGTGCCAGAATTTCCTTCCTTTTTAAGACTGAATAGTATTCCATGATATGTATGTGCCACATTTTGTTTTCCCATTCATCTGTTGATGGATGCTTGTGTTTCTTCCACCTTTTGGCTATTGTGAATAATGCTGTTATGAACATGGGTTCATAGCAAATATCTCTTTGAGTCTTTGCTTTCAAATCATTTGGGTATATACCCAGAAGTGGGATTGCTGGGCCTTATGATAATTCTCTTTTCAATTTTTTGAGAAATCACCATACCATACTATACCATCCATAGTGGCTACACCATTTTACATTCCCACCAACAGTGCACAGAGTTCCAGTTTCTCCACATCCTCACCAACGCTTATCATTTCTGTTTTTGTTGATAGTAGCCATCCTAATAGGTGTGGGGCAGTCTCCCTTTGTGGTTTTGATTGGCATTGCCCTAATAATTGGTGGTGTTGAGCATCTTTTCCTGTGCTTATTGGCCATTTGTTTATCTGGAGAAATGTCTATTCAAGTGTTTCGTCCATTTTTTAATTGGATTATTAGTCTTTTGTTGTAATGTCATAGTATAGTTTAAGGTTGATGATACTTGTTACTAGACAGAGTTTGGAGATCATTTGATCCCCCTAGTACTGGAAGTGATTCTAGAACATTTCCCAAAAGATGAGACAGATGAGTTAGTTTCTCCTTGAATATTTCTGATGTGAACAAAGCACACTGTTTTGAGAGTAGTCTTTTCCATTTTCTGAACAGTTGCTAGAAATTTATTATATACCTTTTTATTTAAGAAATTTCACAAAAGTATTTGTTCGAATATATACTTTTATATGTGTGTGCACATGTACATTCATGCATTGAGGAACATGTGGGAGATAAGCACAAATATTGAATGGAGGATAAAAACTACAACCTACTGTTGATAGTGAAAATGCATAATTCGAAATAATAACCCTCTTTTAGTTTGTTTCTTCCCTTTCCTCCTTCCAGACCAGTTTTGTTTATAGAATCTTAGATCCTTTTATTGGTCTGTAAATAGTAATTTTTCTTATTTTTTTTGTTTTATTACCATCATTCTTGTATTACTTGTCATTAAAAATTTCACTTGAAAAACTGTTCTAGTCAACTACAGCAGAATAGAAGACAGATATAGAAGTCATGAAGAGTAACAAAAGTAGTGCAAGTTCTTGCATGTCTGAGGGTGGCTTTCCTTTCTCTTCACCCATTACAGCTAGGCTCAAATGAAATATAGAATTCTTGGGCCACTTTTTTCTTTTTTTTTTTAGTAGTGTTTTATTTTACTTTTTTAAAATTTTTCTTCCTTCTCCCCAAAGCCCCCCAGTACATAGTTGTATATTTTAGTTGTGGGTTCTTCTAGTTGTGGTGTGTGGGACGCCACCTCAGCATGGCTTTACGAGCGGTGCTAGGTCCACACCCAGGATCCGAAACCCTGAAACCCTAGGCTGCCGAAGCAGCACATGCAAACTTAACCACTCGGCCATGGGGCTGGCCCCCACTTTTTTTCCTTTTTCGCTTTTGGCCTAGTTACTGTATTTTTTTTTCTTTTCTCCTACACATTTAACACTTTGATTAGCATATACGTAAGATATTGATCTTTCATTAATTTTGCTTGATGTTTGATGTGCCCTTTTATTGGAAAACTTAAGTTGCCTTTTATTTTTGTTTCTCAATTTTTTGTAGTTTCTCCTTAAATTCCTATTTTATATATATCGAATCTTCCAAATCTTTACTTCATTGCTCATCTTTTCTCATCATTTTTCCTCCTTTCTATCATTTTCCTTCAGTATTTTCCATGGGTGTTTTTAATTGTTGCTGTTGTTTTTGTTGTATTTATTCTTCCTTACAGCACGCTTGTCTAATGTTGGGGATGGAGATTGTTTAGTCAGATTTTTATGGGTCTCTGTTGGCAAAAGGGATGTCTTAGAGCTCTTACTTGGCCAGTTCACAGATTCTACACCTCCAGGGCAAGTCGAAAGGGGATCAGAGTCAGAGATTAGTTAGTGCCAGTTTTGTGAGTTTGCCTAGTCAGTGGAGACCTGACTGGAACCTTGCATCTACTAGACCAGCACATCAGCCACAGCATCTAGTACTGCTTTGGTTATTGTGTTACCTGGATCCTCTCCGTGCTGCTGGGAGTCCCAAAAGGCACTGGTTGCATTCTTTCTTAAAGTGGCTCATAGGAGAATCAGTAGTATAAATGTCCATAACATACCTCCAGAGCTTGGCCAAGTGTATGGGAATGTTTGGCCCTATTTAATGTAAATGTAAAATATTGTTTAATTAGCTGTTGTCTACTTCTTATAAACCTTAGTATGTGTCTCTTGGTTGGTTAGCTGCTTTTTTATTGCTGGCAATGAATGCTTAAAGCATTTTTCTTTCTCCACTTTTAGATTACTTTTCCTAACCCAAGTGTTTAGGAATTATGCAAGTAAATATTTGAAAGTATATGTTTGATGAAAGTAATAGGTTCTGAGAAAGGATCTAAGATCATTTCAGTAAGCAAAGTAAATAATTATAGTAAAATGTGTGGTGAGTCTTTATATTTTCTATTCTT